GGGGTGAGCCACTTTTAAGACGCACCCGGTATATTAGTCACATTGAGTAATTCAAGAATATCTGTAAATATATTATCTCCTACCATCTACACTTAACTACAAATTAAACAAAAAATTTAAGTTTTTTGTTTAACTTGCCTCACCACTTTAGACATATCAAATTTTGATAACTATTAATTTTTATTTTGAAAAAATGATGTTTTTGCATAATTGTATTGATGAAAATGATGTTTTTGTATAATAATTGTATTAAAAATATAGACAAAAATAGAAAAAATCGGAATAAATCGCAAACTTATAAAAATCGGTATATGACATATTTAATAAAAGTTGAAGAGTTTTGTAAAATGTAAAAATTTATTTTTAGCATTTAAAAAAATTGAGATTTTTTAATTTTAAGTCCCGATTTAACACCCTGTAGCATCTAACTAAAATATCTTTATACAGGGTGAGTTTCCTACGATGTTCTCTATGGGTATCTCGGAAACTACTGGAGATAGAGAGTCGGTTAAATGGGGAAAGAACTGAAGTTTTGTGGGGTCATAAATATGCGCCTTTCAGATTTTTGAAAAAGTTCATGGCTTACTAGATATTTCGAAAAAAACAAATTTCGGCTATTTTAAAAATTGTCCCTAATTCCATTATAAGCTATTTTAGACAAAAAGTTTTCAGATAAAAGTTGTAGATAATTACATCCTTAATGAGACTGTGCTCTCTGTTTTTTTCCAGAGCCTGCCATTTTTGACATATGACACAAACATGTGTTTTTTTTAAATGGAAACCATAGTTGGCCATGACTTCCTAAAAAGCGCCATTTTTTAAGCTTTTCAGTGATATAAGCTATAATATATTTTCTTCGAAAAATTACGGAGTTATAGCCAATTCCTATAATTTTTAAACAATTTCACTTAGTTAGCCATGGAAACAAGTTTAAATCGTTTTTGCTCTCAGAAATGTGAAGCTGTCATATCCAAACTTTGTAAATTAAAATAAACAAAAATTGTAAATATGAATTTTTCAAATGAAGAAAAGCGTGTAGGATAGTTGGTTCAACTTTTCTTGACCACACATTTTCGAGGATACGTTGACCGGTGAATGTTACGTTTTTTAGAGAACGGTTTTCAAGACATGTTCGAGAAGTTAAATTTAGTTACAGCCAATTCTTATCTTTCTTGGCTAATTTCACTTAGATCGCATGGTATTATTCTGTTATGATTTATAACTTATAAAAAGTCAGAATATAATAATATTATTAAACGGTTCTTTACAATTTACATTACACAAACTAAAACTTAAAAAATAATATCACTACATATACTTTAAACTATTTTAGAAAATGTTCAATAAACCCGTCATTGTTTCGAGTTGCATCTTTTTAAAACTGAATTACTACCTATTATGACAGAAGGACCGGTTGACTTAATTAAACTTCTCTCGTACCGCCACTTTGAGTGCCTCTCTTAATTCATAAGGTTTTTTGTAAACCTTATTGTTAACCAAACCGCATAAAAAATATATAAAATGGATCAGGTGATCGGAGGAGGCCCATGCAATTGGTCCACCTCTTCCTATCCTTGAGTTTGCATAATTATGATATAATTAATTTTTAACGTTTCTTTCATTGTGGGGGGGGGGAGGGTGTCATAATGAAAGTCGTGTTGGAACCACTCTATTGATGCGCGAGTATCTACACGCTTTTCTTCATTTGAAAAATGCATATTGACAATTTTTGTTTATTTTAATTCACAAAGTTTGGATATGACAGCTTCACATTTCTGAGAGCAACGGCGATTGAACTTGTTTCCATGGCTAACTAAGTGAAATTGTTTAAAAATTTTATAAGAATTGGCTAATAACTCCGTAATTTTTCGAAGAAAATATATTATAGCTTATATCACTGAAAAGCTTAAAAAATGGCGCTTTTTATGAAGTCATGGCCAACTATGGTTTCCATTTAAAAAAACACATGTTTGTGTCATTTGTCAAAAATGACAGGCTTTAGAAAAAAACGGAGAACACAGTCTCATTAAGGATGTGATTATCTACAACTTTTATCTGAAAACTTTTTGTCTAAAATAGATTATAATGGAATTTTTAAAATAGCCGAAATTTGTTGCCAACTTTTTCAAAAATCTCAAAGGCGTATATTTATGACCCCACAAAACTGCAATTCTTTCCCCATTTAACCGATTCTCTATCTCCAGTAGTTTACGAGATACCCATAGAGAACATATTAGGAAACTCACCCTGTATATACAGGATGAGTCTTAAATAAGTGCAAATATTTTCACCGATTTTCACGACTGGTAGAGCTCGATAAAAGAAACATATTTTCTGTTTGCCGTTTTTCAAATAAGTCCAAAATAACCGACTTATTTTATTTTGAAAATTTCAAAAAAAATTTTTCAAGAACCAATTATTCTTTTCTGGAGTTTTCTGATAAATTTAATATTTTACCTATGTTGCTATATTATCAAGAAATTATGGTTTTTAACTCACAAAAAAATATTCCGAATATTTTTTCAAAAAATTCCAAATTTTCAATTTTTTTTTCAAGACTCACCCTGTATATATATTTATTTTTCTTCGTCTCTATGAAACTCTCCTGCCAAATTTTAGTAGTCCAACTTCAGAACCAATGGCTTCACTGACAATTTTTTATCACACTGAAATCTAATATTTGTTTAAGCAAACTAAAATATTACAAAAACTATTAATTTTAGGTATACTAAAGGCTGGCAAAGGTTAGTCTTGGGTCGAGATTTCCGTATGTAAGAAGAGTACAATGCGTTTATAATGTACTAAACAAAGAGAGAACAGTAAACACGTTGCCAAACATACGAAATTAATCGAGAAACTGTGCACATTGTTAAAAGCGGGTTCTCATTAGGCGATTTTGTTGATCAATATCATTGAATCTATGTCATTGAAATAAAACATATTAATGTGAACATTATTTCAACCATATTGTTCAATGTTTTCGCATTTCTAGAAAACTGGAACCCATTTCTATTTTTGGTGGACCAATCGTATTGATTCAATGAAATTGAACAGTGCTTGCCTGTGAGAACAAGCGGGAACAAGCGTTCAGTCGCATCGATGTGGTTTTCGGTGTATGTTTCTGTTGAAATAAGTAAATTAAAATGTCGTTTAAATGGAGGGATTTCCATGTTGCAAAATTTCTGGAGTTATATCCATCCAGGCAGAGGAATGTTTATAGAATTTCTAATGTGAAAATTATACAAATATAACGCTACGGGAAAAAGTTATGAAAATATTCGTGTTGGAATGGACATACAATCTTTAACTTCAACCGATGTTAAAAACAAAATCAAAAGTAAAATTAAATGTTCAAATATCATACGAATGTCAGCACGCGCAGTTTTCTTCTTGGCAACCATTTTTAAAACCAGATTGAATGTTCAATATTCTTGAATCATGTGAACGAATTTTCCATTTATTTCTATGTTCAATGGTATAGATTCAATGATATTGATCAATATAGTCGACTAATGAGAACCCGCCTTAAGAGACGTGGAAGGGAATATAGCAGATTTGTCGCAGTTGACCGGTCGACCCAATCAGTACCTCTGTCAGTACTTAAAGTTCTAGGGAGAGGTGCACATCATGCGTTCAGCTTCACGATTTAACTACGTCTCGTGATACTTTATTTGTTTATTATTTTACCGATTCAAGAGTAACAGTTGCCAGCACGGTATAAGATTTACATAAAAAGTTATAGAATTTTATGCAGAATCTAAAAATAAAATAAAAAATAGGATGTTGTATTTAAAAATACGTATGTTATATCCGCCACACTTCTTGAAGCACCCTGTATACTTACTGTATACGTACCTTAAGCTTCCCTATAACTTATATACAGGGTGGTCCGAACTGTATTCCGGAAATTTGGGCACCATATTCTGCAGATAAAAATAAGTAAAAAAGTTCGTATAAATGTATGTCCTAAAATGCTTAGTTTCAGAGATACAGGGTGTAGAAGTTTTATTTTTATTTGGATTTTTTCCAAATAATTTGTGACGTAATGTCAATATTTTGATGAAAATTGGTATCTGGGAGTTTTTTGACATGATAAATTTGATTTTGATGTCAATATGACTCCTATTGCTAGGGGGCGCCACCTACATGTGTTTCAACTGTTTTGAAGAGTAATAACTTTTCGTCTGTACCGGTATAAAACTACGTGAGACCGTACCGGTATAAAACTGAGTGAGAAAATATACATTTCCGTAATTTTCCACGTAAAATATCCACGTAAAAAAATCGCTACGGGCAACCCTTCCCAAGATATGTAAAATGGAAATAGTTAATACCTGTCATTATTGACTAAAAAGTAAACATGTTGAGTAGATTTTTATTTGAGTGAAATGATAAATTTGGGAAATTTTTATTTTTTTAAATTAGTAATAAATTTTTCTTCCAAAAATGATGATAAAACAGTTTCTGTTGAACTTTTGATACAAAAACATTTCACATTTATTATTTCAGTTTAATAACTATTTAGTCAACATGTTTAATTTATGTCAATGATGAGAGGTATTGATAATTTCGATTCCAGATATTTCGGGAACCATTAGCTGTAAGGATTTTTACCAAGAGACTTTTTTGTACGTAAAAAACGTTGTAAATGTATATTTTTTTTACTCAGTAGTTTTATAAAGGTACATACGAAAAGTTATTACTCTTCAAACCAGTTAAAAAATATGTAGCTGGTTGACTCACCCTGTACTATTAATATGGCCTTATAGGAGTGTTAGTTTTATAATAATCATATTTATATATTTCATTCGCGTACCTATTCTAGGTTATTTATTATTCAGAGAAACAATCGAATTTACGTTAATAAAACAAATACACTATAATTAGTTTACACCGTTACCTCCAACTTCATCTAAACGTCTAAACAGAAACTGTTTGTTTACGAAATTAAATTCAACTTCGAGGTGGTGCCTATTAAAATCCTGTTTTGATTGTTTCAGGTGCGTTCCTAGCTTTGAGTAGGCGATTCAAGGAAGCGGCCATATTGTACGAGAAAGCCGCCGAACTGCGGTATGACGATTACGAGTTGGCCGTGGCCGCTGCCACTGCTATGAGAAAGGCAGGACGACAGGAAGATGCAGAGAAGTGGTACAGGAGAGCATTGTCTATGAAACCTTCGGTAAGCTTTTTACAGGGTCCCGTGGACTACCTCTTTCTTTTTTTATCAAAAAGAATAATTTTTAGAATTAATTTAAAATAAAAAAAATCGGATTACCTATGCACCGAATTTCAAAATTTTTTAATTCATTTTTAGCCGACCGCGACCATACCAATAGGTATGGTAGGCTATTAAGATCGGCAAAAAAAAAGTTTTTTTAATTTCACTCAATAAAAATAATATATAATATAAATGACCTAAATACAAAATAGAGAGATTAAAATTCCTTTTTATATCTCTAACGATTATCTGAATATTATTCTTTCAATATTTTAAAAACCAGGATTGGATGAATTTTTATTATATTTATATATTTTTTGAGTTATTTAATCATAATATATTCATATTATTTACGAAAAGTGAAATTACAGTTAAAATAAAATATAGTCCCAATACTGAATTATTGTCTACCATATTCAAAGAAACTGTAAAAATGTAAAAAATATAAAAAAATTAATAAAAAATTATTATTTTTTATTCTTTAAAAGACAAATTAACTTGTTAATTAAAATTGATTGTACGGTACATAACTTGCTGAATATTGAATAAGCTTTGATTATAATTATTTCCAAAATTATATCTTCCTGCGACAACAGAGGGTTACTTATCCCTTAAATTTGTTTAAAAGTTATTGTATTAATATTCAAGACAGAGAATCATCGACCTTTAGTGTTGAAACTTTTACAAAAATACTTTCTGTTTTAATCTCAGTAGAATTCCTGACTTTCTTGTTCCCCTTCTCTCGGGGGACCGTTTTTTAACCCCACCCACGCCACCATTTTGTATTCATTAATTACAGCCATTAATCTTTCCCTTTTACCATCGTTTTAATATAGAAAATCGTTGAACCTTTAGTAAACTTAGTAGCGTTTTTCGACGGCAAGCTAACGCTATTTTAATTCGATTCAGCTTTTACCTGATTTATATTTATTTTGAATATTATGCACGAATGCAAAATGTTTTAATTGAAAAGCAGGAATACATTGGCGAATAAGTTTATTTTTCTCATTAGGTATAATATACTTTCAAAATGGAATTAAAATAAAACGGTATCAGAATAGTCTTCGAAATGTCAATCAATGAAAGTTTTTTTCAGGACCCTTGAATAAAAAAAACTAAGAGAGTGTGTATTTATAATATTATACTATTTCTTTTGTTAAAACAGATTGTTGACGGACTTAGTATCTTATTTTCATTAAATGAAAGTACCATTTTTAAATTCTCTCGCATCTTTAAATTTCTTTTTAAATGGTGTAAAAATACACCATTTTTTGAAAAGTGGAAGCAAATGCTAAAAATCTTTCATTTCCTATTCACTGCATAATATGATTTTCTTTCCAAAAGATCTTTTCATGTTAAGACGCATATGTGGAGTTCTACTTCGAAAAGCAGCTACAATTGTTTCTCACATGTTCACATGTAGAATGTAGAATGCTTAGGAGGGGAGTTAATCACCGCAACCTTATAGATCTATTGTGTGTTCCCCTTTCTTGAGTTATAACGAGTTGTAACTCATCATACAGCCTCAGGGCTTAAATAAATGCCAGTATCTGAGACGGCTCCACAGAGCCTCTGTGACAGAGGCCAGCTCTCCATCCTCGACATCAGACGTACCAAGGTTCATGGCACGAATGGTCGTCGTCTCGGCGCACTCAGTGATAAGGTGTTCTGGTGTTTCCCCATTTTCCCCACAGAATCTGCATTTGCCGTTGTTTCTCAACTTCAGCCTACTGAGGTGTTCGTTGAGGAGACAGTGTCCTGTTAGAACATCAAACTTTAAAAAAATAAATACATTTTTTCAGATAATTCAAGGACCGTTAATCCGATGTGAATGAGATTTTGTGTCCAATGAACTTATTTTGATTCCAAAAATACGTAGTAGTTCTATGTCCACGGAATATTGGGACACCCTGTATATATTGTATTAGAGGACTAAAGTAAGGTGGGTAAAAATTGGATAGGAGATGTAAGGATTGGATCTCTTTTTTACCGTTTTTTTTAATTAATACAGTTATACTATATTTTCAAAATTCACATCTTAGAGTAAATTAACAATAGAAAATAATAGATTATTTTTTAACAATAATATATAAGAGAACATTCTACTATATCTTTTTTGAGTTTCGTCACATAGGGAATCATCACTGTCCATCTTTCCAAAAAATCCTATATGTGTATTTCGTCACTGCGAAAATCTACAAAATAAAATAGTTATTTTTTGTAAACACTTCTGCGTTAATCCCAAACGGAAACTACTTGTCAGTAGTTAGGTTTACAGAAATATAAATTTGCCTAACGAACAAAAAAATGCTTAACGTTTCGGAAACTTTATCCCTTTCCGTCGTCGGAGAACGTCGGAGAACACTTTAGTTTTTTTTTTAACAGATAGGTCTACAAAAACCGTTGGCGTGATGTTAAAATGACATTACATCACGTTAAACTTCAAAATTAACAATTACTACCTGATAACAATTATTTAATAAGGTAAAACCAAAAAGCCTCAAACTTTCTGTATGATTACATTTAATTTTTACGTAGGTATGTTATGTTCTTTAAAATCAAAGAAGCGATTGCCATATAATATAAATATCAAAATATTCCTTATGTTTGGACGAAATTTTCTCGAAAATAAAGACATAATTTAAAATTCCGTTACAATACGGAAATAGACTGAAGTTTTGTGATTACAGTGATATATAATGTATATAGTTTTATAACAAATTGCTCGCTATTTTATGGCAAATGCTGAAGCTCTGCAAACCTTAATCAAGCCTTAATCCAAGCACGTGTGTTTGGAATTTGGGTGTGGCTTAACACCACAGGAAGCGGCTAGTTGTATACGAGAGAAAATTGCGGATAGACCAATACCAAACCAAACCAAACCAAACAATTATTTAATAAGGTAAAACCAAAAAGCCTCAAACTTTCTGTATGATTACATTTAATTTTTACGTAGGTATGTTATGTTCTTTAAAATCAAAGAAGCGATTGCCATATAATACTAACATCTACAGCGTGAGCAATACGTTGGAGCATACTGTCCATTTTTTCCATAAAGGTCTCTATTAATAATGTACGACTTATCAACCTATCTCTTTAATAATGTACGACCACAATATATCAAGATTTAAATTCAAAACAATTTTCATCGCAAATAGACATATTTCTCATGCTTAGAACAATATTTTGACAAGTTGTCCCTAAAAATTCCTTTTTTTCGTCTAGTTATTTTTCTTCAAACAGACTCCGTATTTTTTTTCTGTAATTGCAACAGGAATCGCAGATTTTGCAATTACCGGAGACAATGTCCGGCTGAGTTGAGTGAAACGAATAAAAAAATAAAAGTAATTAAAAATCTGATTCCCCAGGGATGAAGGAGGCACCTACATTATCGACCGTCGAAGAAAATACGGGGAAGGATCAAATTAAATTTAAATAAAACGAAAAACGACTGCGGATAATATAAAATGCAATTAAATTTCCCTTAATTATCCTTTTTTTAAATTGGTCCAATTACTATGCTAAAATACCCGCCTCTCGATTTTTTCTTTATATTTTAATCAATTAATTCTACGTAGGGACGAAAAATAATTGGAGAAAAATAATCAAAAAAATATAGCTGCAATTATAAAAATGTTGGACATATTTTTAAATTTCTCAAGAATTAATCAGAGATTTTTTTAAAAATATTTATTTAGAAGGATTATCAGTATCTAAAAACAAAATAGTATTTATTTTTTACTGAATTAATACCATGCTGGCAACTCTTACTTTTGGGTCGGTATTTACATGTGTGCAAGTTAATCGTATAGGGATCTTACAAAGTCGGAGTGAGAGAAATACGACGGTGTGCTGTTGCGGCGTTGCCACATTTCTCCGGTACGCCTTTCCCTATCCAGTAACGTAAAATCACGATCGTAAACCGCTTTTTTTAAAAACACTTTTTTTTCGAAATAATAACTAGATAAAATCATTAGATATGTTTCTGAGCATCTGAAATGGAATTATAAGGATATCGTTAGGGTGTCATTTTTTTATAACAAGAAAACGTCAGTAATCGGGATAATTTAAAAATGCAATTTTTTAACACAACACGCGATAACTGAAGAACCACTTTAGATATTAAACCTTTTTTTTATTTTGACACTCGCGTCTTTTACAAGATGTTTAAATAAGAAAAATTCCACAGGCTTGCATTTTTTTCATTCAAAAAATTTAAAAAACCCATCCATTTACTTTTAGTGCATAGCAACTAAACAAAACATAGCAACAAAACATAGATTTTTGAATTCAGAGTTCTAATAGCGCGACTACTGTCGAACACCAACTCAATACCACTTATTCTTACCGAAGGCGCAAGTGTTGATACATAAATAACTATTATTTTATAAAATGGTACTGTGTAGAATCGAAACAACGTCCAGATTAAATTGTTTTATATTTTCTATTATTTCAATCAGATTATCAACAAATAAATTCTAGTTTAGGTTTTGATTTATAAATGTGTTTTTCCTAGTATTCTAAAGAATGTGAATTAAATATTTAGGTAACAAACATTGCTGCTAAACTGTTAAGTAGTTTTTGACGTTGCCTATTAATGAATAATGCCAAATTGTGCTGAAATATAAAGGATATGTGAGGTATAAAGAGATAAATATATTGCAGTTGCTAAAAGTGATTTATTACACTATATTTAATTATTAAAATATTTGCAAAAAAAGTAATTTTTAAATTTTATTTATGAACATACAGTATGAATTTTTAGCAAGTCACTTTTAACTAATAAAATATGATAATTAACATAAATATTCTAAAGATTTAATATTCTTAAATTTTAGATAACTTGGGTTTGTTCCGCTTTTCTTTTTTAATTAATTTTATGATCACTTTTCAGAGTTTACTCGAAAATTTCTAAACAGGAAAAATAATTATTGACAGTAAAATGCGAATCGTATTTCTGT